CAGGAATGTACGAGAGAAAGAGCGAGAAAGAGCGATAGAGAGAGAGAAAGAGAGAGAGAAAGAAAGATAGAGAGAGAGAGAGGGATGTAGAGAGAGAGAGAAAGAGAGAGAGAGAAGAAAACGAGAGAGCAAAAGAGAGAGAGAAGAGAACGAGAGAACAAGAGAGAGAGAGAGATAGAACAAATGAAAGAAAGAAAAATGAGAGAGAGAGTGAGAGAGAGAGCGTGTGTGTGTGTTTGTGTGTGAGAAAGGGGAGATCGGAGAGAGACAGAGAGAAACAGAGAGAGAGAGAGTGTGTAAGAGAGAGAGAGAGAGAGAGAGAGAGAGAAAATAACTGCACGCCATCTCAGTACATGGGCTGGATGTCACTATATATCATCATGTTAGTAATTTATTAAGCCATCTGATGGGCTACATGTTCGATAACGTCCCTACAGCGAATATTGCACGATGCAGATCTGCCGTTATATGTATTAAGGGTTAAGCGGCCAGCTTGGGACCGCTTGCAATTTTATCGTTTTTTTAAATAAATTTTTTCGCCAATCCGCAACGCAGAATGCTAATCCTATCGTTACGTATAAATCATATTATGACGTAATGTCGTCTGCGCTGCGTATAGAGGCAAAACCTGATCTCGGCAATAAAGTTAAGCGCTTGGACGATTTTAGATGGAAAAGTCGGGAGGTATTCCGACATAAATATTCCGCAAATGAGAATACACTCCCTTTTTCGAAATTCGTGTATTTGATAAGCAAGTCAGACCCGACTGTTCCGCGCGTTCGTAATCAAGTTGCTTGAGCCTGGACGAATTTCAATCAGACCACTCTGTCGTAGCGAAGCTTGGGCGATTTTCGCTAAAGCAGTATGCACGTAATGGTGCCTTTGATTAGACGCAGATACACGCTTTTGTATCCACTGGCACGCGCTGGAGCGCATTTGAATGTCTAAAGGCATTTTTCGGCGCGTGGCCACAAGGAACAAGGACAGGTGGTGCACATGCGTGCTAACCCTTTTACCATAAATCAGGAAGGACGCTGTGCGAATATTCCATTTACGCGCACAACACAATTAACCGGTGGCTATTGTTTTAGTCTATGGGCACGTATTGCGGCATTGCCCCCAAAATTCGGCCCCGTCCAAGCGGGGGGCTCTCTCGCGTACGCGTGCCTGCACACACGCGACAGGTGACAAGTGATACGTGACATAATATCTCACCAGCACACAGCACAGCAAGCCCTTCTTATCGGCAGCCATCCACCTCAACGCTGTGGTCGCCCGACAGATGTTACTGGCAATCACCTTTGTTTTACCTGCAACCTTGAGTAGATCGCTGGGGGGTTTATAAGAAGGTTTGCTGATCCCCGGGCCCACTAATTGGGCGCGCGTATTCTTAAGCACCCGAACCCCTATTCAAGACGGAACATCTGCCGCTGAGACCCGCGGCTCGTAGACTGACACCGTCCGGTTCCGCGCGTACGTTCCGGACCAGGCAAAACTCGCCGCGGGGACCGTCTCCGGGCAACAACGCTCGTGGACAATAGGTCTTAACTCGGCATCACGTCTTGACCATTAGTGACCGCTATTTTCGGAACTCGGCACGAAGACAATACGTGCAGCCGATAGTTAAAGGGTTGCTGTGTATGTGTGTGTATATCTGTATGCGTATGTGTGCCCACGCGCGCGCGCTCTCCTGATTGGTCGCCGGTGCCGGCAGTGGGTATCGACGTGTTCGTATCGTTGTGCGTGCGCGCAGGCGAGCTAGCGGCAGTAACAAGCTTGTCGTCATAGACGCTGCACGCACGGGTCCGCTAGCGCGTCCTGCCACCACCGCAGCAGCAGCAGCAGCAGCAGCCTCGTATATACTACGCGCGCGCACGACACAAGCAGCTACCGTGCTTACCGTGAAAGATGCTTTCCCTCAACAACAACAACAACGATTAAGACTCGCGTGCGGAGAATTTCTCTCCCCGCGTGCGCGCGTGCGCGTGTGTGTGTGCAGTGCGCGGAAAAAAAGACACACGCGGCCGTTCGTGTCGCCCGAAGGATATAACTTCTTCTCGATATACTTCTACCGTGTTCTCAGCGGCAGTGTTTTATGCGTGCGCGTGCCTCGCACGCTCATTGACGATAAGTGGCACGCGAGACGAACGGACGGCCGAGTCAAGATGTAAGTACGCGAGAGAGATAGAGTAAAATATTCTGCTGGGTTTCCCACTCGTGCCGGCGTTTCAGAGCGAAGCTCGCCTTCTCTCGTGTTTTTAAGCGGACAGCCGAACGCATTACGAGGCGACACCAGCGCGCGCGTGGCGAAAAAGTGCATGCGTGTGTATGAGAGAGTGCATGCGTGTGTACAAAGAGAGTGCACGCGTGTGTATGAGACAGTGCATGCGTGTGTATAATAGAGTTGGAGGTTGAATTTAGTAAGACAAACTCACTCTCATGCAGATACGCTGCGGAAGGGCCACTACCAACTTACTAGCTAAGGTTACTATGTGACCGCAGGGACGTTTTATCACTACCGAACGCAGATGAGAGAAGCTTTTCAATTACGTATATAAGAAGATGTGTTTTCTCTTTTCTATACGACGATGGATCTTCTCTTATCCATTTTTATTATTACACTACTTTTATTCCTCCGTTTTTTCTATTATCAATTATCATTTCAACATTTTTTTATTTATCCTAGGAGCATCGGATTTTCGAACGCGCGCAGAACGACGAGGATGACGACGCTGACGGTGGCGACGACGGTGATGTTGCTGCTGTCGCTGCACGCCGACCGCGGCTCGGCGGCCGAGATCGTCACGTCCGTCTACGAGGAACAACCGATCGGAACGTACGTGACGAGCGTGCGCGGCGTTCTGAACGTGTCCAATCGCATGAACAACGTCAAGTTTAGCATCCTGTCGACGCCGAACCGCGTCGAGCTGTTCAAGATCGACGAGACGGGGAACATCACGACGGCCGACATCATCGACCGCGAGCGGCTGTGCGGCGACGCGCCGACGTGCGTGCACAGCTTCGACGTCGCGCTCATGCCGATGCAATACTTTGAGATCGTGCGCGTCAAGGTGGACATCGTCGACGTCAACGATCACGCGCCGCACTTCGCGCGCGACGAGATACACATGACGATACCGGAGAACGCGCCCGTCGGCCAGACGTTCGTGTTGGAGAGCGCCGCCGACGCCGACGTCGGCGATAACGGAGTGCAGTCGTACGAGATCGAGTCGGATAGCAAGCAGTTCGGCTTGAAGATCAGCGAGGAGGAGGTTTTCGGCCTGCAGATGGCGCTCGATATTCAGGCGCCGCTGGATAAAGAGACGGGGACGACGCATCAGGTATTTGTAGGCTTGTAGGGTGTGTGTGTGTGTGTGTGTGTGTGTGTGTGTGTGTGTGTGTGTGTGTGTGTGTGTGTGTGTGTGTGTTGTGGGTGTGTGTCGTGTTGTTGTGTGCGTGTGAGCGAGAGTGTGAGCGTGTGTGTGTGTTGAGTTTGTGTGCGCGCGTGTTTGGCGTGTGTGTGTGGGGGGGGCGGGTGATGCGCTATAAATACAGGTCAAACTGTACTGGATCGGAATCATCGCCCGCATTGGCTAATGCTACAATCACCCTGTGTTTAACTTTCACTGGCCATAAAATCCAAACGCATTAACGTGACGAGTTAACCCACACTCGCTGGAGATTGCTGAATAAATAGTACTAATGCACGATAAATATAATTATATACGCTATGATTGAGCTCAGATTTCTCAGTCGAGATTAACCGCCATGCTCCTTCAGCTTGACCACCATGCTTCCACCCTCCCAAAATTGCGGTCTAGCAAGTAGATTTCAATCCGGTCAGCAGTCGTAGATAATAAGCACCTTCCACCGAAAATAGTCGGTCGTCTAGTTTTGTGAACGTTAATTGAAAACGCGGTCGCTTGCGTGTAATTAGACAGGATTGCGCGCGCTCTCTCTCTCTCTCTCTCTCTCTCTCTCTCTCTCTCTCTCTCTCACTCTTTTCCACACCTCCAGCATGTAGATCCTCTCTCTCTTCTCCTCTCTCTCATCTCTCTCTCCTTTCTCTCNTTCTCTTTCTCTTCCATCTCCTCTTTATTCCCTCTCTCGCTCTCCCTCCCTTTCTCTCTATCCGTCTGACATTGCGGCGTGTTCGACTATGCTTTCGCGCACATCTCGTACATTAGCGAGGGCTTCCTGCGCTTTCCTCGCTTCACGCGAAAACAAACCGTCGCGCGATTCGAGACGTCGACAAAACCCGTGCGTTTGCCAAGCGGCAAAGCAAACCACCCTCCCCCCTCTCCCCCTCTCCCCCTCCGCAAGCGTTACCCACACTGTCGTCGTCGTCGGCGTCGGCGGCGTTGTCGGCAGCGGCCGCATCGTGTAACGTTATGAGAGCACGTCGGCCGGCGGAAAACGATAATTTAAATTTATACCGATACAAAACGATAGAAGGCAGCGTGTGTTATTGAAGTTCGTTCGACACGCTATATGCTATATATATATATGCATATATATATATATATATATATATATATATATATATATATATATATATATATATATATATATATGACTATTCGGAATAGCCTGCCCGGCAGCGGCCACGCACATGATGTGTGTTTGATAACTATATCTGCTGTTAGCACCGCCCCAGATAAAAAGAAATCTACCGCTCATAAAGTGCTTCTCTCCGCGTGGCTAGACGCGACCCCCTCTCCCCCTCTCCCCCTCTCCCCCTCGCCCCTCCCTTTCTGTCCCGGAGGTGTCCAAGTGCTCCCCGCGTTACAGCAAATATTAAACGGGACCCTCGCCCCTCTCCCCTTCTCCCCCTCTCCTCCACTCTCCCCTGCGGGTGACCGCATGCCCCCGTGTTACAGCAGGTATTAAATGTGACCCTCTCCCTCTCTCCTTCCCTCACAGCGTTACAGCCGTGTTTAAACGCCACCCTCTCTCCCTCTCTCCCTCTCTTCCTCCCTCCCTCTCTCCTTCTCTCCGTCTCTCTCTCTCTCCTTCCTTCACAGCGTTACAGCCGTGTTTAAACACGACTTTCTCTCTCCCTCTTTCACTCTCCCTCTCTCACTCTCCCTCTCGCCATTTCTCTCTCTCCCCCTCTCCCCCTCTCTCACTCTCTCCTTCCCTTACAGCACTACGGCCATGTTTAAACACGACCTTATCTCTCCCTCCCCCACAGGTAACCGTCATCGCCAGAGACCACGGCCGACCTCCCAAGTCCGGTCGGCTCGTCATTCACATCAAGCTGGTCGACTCGAACGACAACGGGCCGAAATTCGAGCAGGCCAACTACGAGATCATCGTCGTCGAGAACATCGCTCCGGGAACGACGATCTTACGCGTCACAGCCGACGACTCCGACGACGGCGACAACGGTCGGCTCACCTACTCGCTGTCGGCGCGCAATAACGCGCAGGTTGCCGACACGTTCGCGATCGAGGCGGCGACGGACGAGCTGTACGTGACGGGAGTGATCGACTACGAACGGTCGGCGACGTACTATGTCTACGTGCAGGCGACCGACCTGGGCGAGATGCCGCTAGCTGGGGTCAGTCTCGTGACGATCCACGTCATTGACATCAACGACAACCGGCCCGTCATCAACGTCAATCTGCTGTCGGCTGAGGACGAACACGCGCGGGTTTCCGAGCGCGCCCCGTCGGGTCATTCGTCGCCAAGGTGTCAATCATCGACGCCGACAGCGGAGAGAACGGGCGAGCGACGGGCGAGATCCTGCCGCCAGGTAACGCTTACTTCGTCATGAAGCCACTGTTTATCAACGAGTACATGCTCGTTACGTCGCGACTTCTCGATCGCGAACAGATCTCCGATTTTAACCTGACGATCAGAGTCGAGGATAAGGGCGCGCAGGCGCTTGGCGCCACCGCCGTACTCCGGGTAGAAGTACTCGACGAGAACGACAACCGGCCGCACTTCAACCAGTCGCTGTACGTCGCCGAGATTCGCGAGAACAACCTCATCGGCGGGTTCCTGCAGAAGCTGGCCGCTACCGACCGCGACGCGGGCGACAACGCTCGCATCGTCTACTCCGTACAGCCGCCGTACGACAACGTGTTCCACGTGAATCCGAACACGGGCGTGATGACGGCGCGAAAGCAGTTCGACCGTGAAGAGACGCCGTCGATCGACGTCACCGTCATGGCGTCCGACCGCGGCGAGCCGCCGCTCAGCGCGTCGACGATCGTCAGGGTCGTCTTCAAGGATGAAAACGACAACTCGCCGCTGTTCGATAAGCACTCGTATCGGTTTGTTATCAACGAGAACCAGCCTGTGTCGAGTTTGATCGGAAACGTGCTGGCGACGGACCGCGACGCCGGCGACAACGCCGACGTCGTCTACTCGCTCGGCAGCCTTGTTTCGGAGTTCAGCGTCGATCCGAAGAAATTAAACGCGGGATTTAAACGAACCGGAAGCTGGACCGCGAGAAGGTGCACACGTTCCGCTTCGTTGTCGTGGCGACGAACGCCGACGCCGAAGATCGCTACGACGAGGCGAACGTGACGGTGGTCGTCGACGACACGAACGACAACATGCCGACGATCACGTTCCCGTCCGGCAGCGACAACGTCGTCTTCCTACCAGAGTCGGCGACGGCCGGCGCCTTCGTCTGCACCGTCGTCGCATTCGACGAGGACCGCGGCGCCAACGGTAAACTCGACTACGACATCATGGACGGAAACGGCGCCGGTCTGTTCGGGATCGACCGGAAGTCCGGCGACCTGACGATCGCGTCGATGCTGAAGCCGGAGTGGGTCGGCCTTCACANCTCATTCTCAAGGTCAGCGACCGAGGTCATCCGCAGAACGTCGCCATGGCGGCGCTCAACGTCATCATCCATCCGAACAACATGACGGCCAACGAGACGCTGATGTACTCGGCGACCACGTCGGCGACGACGACGGCGCGACGACGACGACGTCCTCCTTCCTGTCGTCGCACTTCACGCTCATCATCGCTATGTCGGCGCTGTCAGCGCTGCTGCTGTTCGCGCTCGTCGCACTCGTCGTCATGTACCGACGCAAGAGCGGAGAGAACCACGCCTACAACGTGCGCATCGAGGCGCAGCGCATATTCGCCGGCATCAAACGTCGGCTGCCGTCGACGGACACCGACTGCATGCGAAGCCGGACAGTGTCCGGCGAAAGCCGACGACGACGGCCCGCCGGAGAGCTGCCGCGACGTCGACGAGCAGAGCATGCGCAGTGGGTGCAGTCACTGCGAGAAGGGAGGATGCGTCGAGCGGCAGAGATGCGAGTCGAACATGACGGGGAATTTTAGCTGGGTGTTCTGCTCCCGAGGTCCGTCGAGGGATAGCAGCGCCACCACCGTAAGTGCTGCACTTATATATAATTATACCCACTATCCTTCTATCTGCTAGTATAACCATAGAAATATATAGAGACACTAGAGAGACAATATAGAGAGTCTAACTATAATATTATTTCTGTGAGTAAAACATACCCTAGCGAATGTAGAACCGAGTGTATATTATGATTCAAGGGGAATCCACCTGGGTAAATCCGTTTTTATTTTCATTCGCGTGCGCTCGCTTTCGTGACTGGAGAAAACACGACGGCGACGACGATGGGCACATTATTATTACCGATCGAAAAGAAACGCAAAAAAATCATAATAAACGTAAAAAACATACGTCACGGCGGATAACGAGAATAAATGTCATTCTTGGTCGTGATTTACGCACGCACGCACGCGGTGACGTGGCTGTAACGGCGGGGGACTGACGTCTACTCTCTCGCATTGTCCGCGTGTAGAGTCCGCATGGAGCGTGCGGTGGCGGTGCTGGTGGAGGAGGAGGAGGAGGAGAAGGAGGAGGAAGGGGAGGAAGACTGATGCCGCCGCCGCAGCGACAGAGAGCCGACATCGCTTCCAGCACGCGCAGAGAACGCGTACGGCGAGCAGCCATCGCTACCTAGCAGACGCGCACAGAANCTCTCGGCCACGAAGTTTTTCCTTGCTCTCATCTATAGACCTTGTGCACGTGACGTCATAGCATCATGTTCTATTGTTTCCCCGGCATGTTGGTGATCACCTCATTCTGTTCAGCTGGCTTAGACTGGTACCCGGTCGGCACCGTCACTCCGTGCAGAGGCAGGTACACGTCCATGGCCAGTCTACAGCTTGATCACCATAGAAGTGCTGCGTGAAGAATGCTCAAACAAACTAGATTCTGTTGCTAAACAGCGGTATGTAGTAAAGATTTATTGTGTGGGTGCTGATCATTATGCCATATGTAGGTCAGAGTTTAAATCTGTCCTGGATTGTGAGAGTAAAAAGCTTCCAGATGTAGAGTACCGGTATACCCATGATAAATACACCCGGTGGATTTTCTGGCCAGTGCATGAAGTGGTACAAGAGTCGTCATTCTGTCAAAGGTGAGTTGCTTTGGATGTAAATATGTAGCATCATTTAAATCACTGTCACTGATAATTTATTTTACTTAGTTCCTCCCAGACTGTTGAGTGCATTAGGCAGCAAGCCATGTAAGTTGGTGTAACAGTACAGAACAGAGCACTTTTCCTTGGGGTGAGAGCAGCGTGATACTACTACTAGTACAGTACAACTATGTTGTACTTAATTATCCAACATCACTCACCAGTATTACAGTAGGCTAACTTGCACATAAACGTAGACTCTGGCTATGAGACCATATTGATCTAATAACAAATGTGGTTCTCCTGTAATTCTACTACTTGTAATAATTTACTGTAGTAGCATATAGGCATGCCACATAGTGAGTAATCATTTTCATTTTAACTATTCTTTTTTCATCATTACCAGCTATTACAAAGATTCTGCAGCAGTTTATTCCCTTGATGCATTTTATTCTCCTAGGTGCTGCATTCGCAAAGGCTTTCGGAGGAACCGTTGCAATTAAGTGTGGGTGATTTGTGAGAAGGCTGCCCCAAACCCCCCTAGCGAGGCGTGACTTCGGCACGCTGGGGTGCGTATAGGCCAATCACCACAGGTAAACCCCCCCTAGTTAAAACCTAGATCCGACCCTGTTAGATAATAGTATTTAGTACCAGGGTACATTCTGGCAGTACCCTGGGGGACATAGACCCTATCAGCCCTACTACTACTACTACTAGTAGTAGTAGTACTAGTAGTACCTAGATAATAGTACTACTACTGCTGAGAGGGTTTATGTCCCCCAGGGTACTGCCGGAACTTTTTATTTTGCTGAAAAATTTTAGGACTCATTTTGTCTTACTTAACGGCCGCTAGAGGGCCTACTCGCTAGTGATTCCGTTTGTAAACATCGCGCGATGTTCGTACATTTCCTACTTTTATAGAGGTGAGTTAATTGGCTGCATGCCGCAATGTGCAGGGTTATGCTTCGTAATACCCCGAGGTACATATATGTATACACAAAGTGTACCAGATTTGTACTACAGAAAGTGTACCCTAACCCTAACCCTAAACATACCTCTTATAAAAATATAAACATAGTACTAAACAGTAAACAACCTAAAACTACCTCCGGTACATATATGTAGTACCTGATACGACAACTACCTTTCGTGCTAAACTATAGCGCTACTCTGTCTAGCTATAGCCCCCCTCACTCAGCATATTAGGTAGACGCCCATGCTTGTTTCTTGATTACAAAAACACCATTCTATGTCAGGAAGCTGGGATCGTAATTTTGTACCCCCTTTCCGCAGGCTTTTTGTCTCTTTTTAGCTCATCTGACGAAGTCAGATGCAGCTTGTAGAATCGCATGATCGTCCGTCCGTACGTGCGTTCGTCAACAGTTGGGCACAAATCTTAACCGCTTGACGTACGGTTACGATATTCGGGACGTGGGGGGGTAATCTGAAAACGAGTTGGGATGTCGAAGCTGGTGGTCAAGGGTCAAAGGTCAAGAGGTGTACCCTAAACTTAACTTAAGGTATAGGAAGGAAATGCAGAATTGCGGCACAAATCTAAACGGCTGGATCTAGGCTTGTGATAGTCGGTGTATAGCATCATAGTAGGAAAAGCCATTACTGTGCCGAAATTGGAGGTCACAGGTCAATGGGGCAGAGAGCAGATTCTGAGGACATTCTTTAACGGAGCGATTGAAAAACTTTTTTGTTTCAGCGGTGACCTACCATTTTTATAGCTTTTTTGAAATGACCGTGAAATGTACTTTCCGCTGACATGCGAAGAGTAAGTGATCTACCAGATAACTTTTTGACCCTTAAGAGGAGGGTTAAACATTTATTTGTTGACTGTTAACAAAGGACTGAACTGCTTTTGCTATTATTAGAGCCCATACCTGTGTGAATATGAGGCTGCAGTTGCACAGTTTAATTGCAAAGGCAAATGTTTGTTGAACAAGGTTTACGCTCC